GGAGGCTATAGTGCAGAACTCTGTCAGCAACTGGGGTAGTACAGAACAGGTCATTTGTCATGAGAAAATACAAGTCATGAGAGAATGCATAGGAAACTAGATAACTGTAGGTTTTTTCACTCCATGTGGGCTACTGATCTCAATACTTAGTCACTGTCTGAGAACTGAGTATCCTCATGGTGTATACCTTGGCCAGATCATATGAAAAAATATATAGGATAAAAACATATAGGGGACATCAAGCCTCTCACTTCAGGGCAAAAGGTTCATCACTTAAGTGCCTGGGGTTATAAGAAACTTTCCCTGTAGATACATTATGACACAATAGTCCAGTCAGGGCTGTAACACCATTTTCTGAGCTATCTGATAGAGGCCACTGTCAGAGGGAAGAGATCACACTAGTTAGAACAAACAAGGAGTCTGGTGGCACCTTCAAATCTAACAATTTTATTGTAACATAAGATTTAAAGAGTTGCAACTCACTTCATCAGATGCATGAAGGGAAAGGAAAAAAAACAATAAAAGAGGTACAAAAATGGAGTTACATTGGAGCTAATTCAGTCAGGGTAGATGTGGATAAGGATGAATGTTCCATTCCTAATCTCTGTTCAGACCTATTCTGATGGTGTCAAATTTGCATATGAATTCTAGCTCAGCAGTTTCACATTGCAGCCTGGTTTTGAAGCTTTTTTGCTTGAGGATGGCACCTAGTTAAAACATAAATCTGATCCAGTGTGATCTTTCCTATTTACTCACACTACTCCTCGTTAGGAAAGGCTCACACTACTCCTCGTTTATATGCTCATGGTAGTCACAAAAAGAGGTGTAAATTTCAAGCAAGAAGTTGCGGGAATGAGAATAATTTTTGCATGTAGGTCACTGCAAGGATGGTAGGCCCTAGTATTCATCATGAAACTGAAATTGTTCATCCATGTGCTGAACATGTAACACAATTTCAGAAGCTGAAGTTGTTATTTAAAGATACGTTCTTTAACACACTCTTCTTTGTGCTCACTAAAATTGTAGAGGAGAGACCATTTTCTGGAGTCAAAATCATGAATCTTAGAAAGTGGAAGTTTACAATTAGAGCTGATTTGTACTGGAGTGCAAACTACATGTACAGGAGTAGAAAACTCCTTTGCACATAGCTATGAAGTACCCTGTCCCCCTGAGCTCAGCAGTGTAGGAGAGCAGAGTTACACTTGTTAATGCCTACATTGATATGTAAGCATCCTTCCTTGCAGGTTATTGTGGGATGACAGATAATTGAAGGGTACATTTTCAATCCAATGCAGACCTAGATTCCATTACCAACAGCAAGTCACGTCTATATAATCTCCCTTGATTATGCACCAGACATGCTTCACTGCAAAAGGGAAACAATCTCTACTTTGAAACCAGCTCAGAGACGTAACTGAAAAATTGCTTTAGCTTACTAAAACTGGCATGTTATGCTGATAGTTTCCAATTCAAGTGTGATTCTCAGCTGTTGAGTGCCATCTTAATAGCAACCTCAGAGCATATGTTTTGTGTCCTTTTATAAATGTGTGCCAGATAAAGGATCAACGCACAGCTTGAAGACAGGTGTTGGAGAACTTCTCGGGGAGACCAGATTCTGGCATGGAAAGGACTATTGTAATTTTGTCTTTAAAGACTGGGTTCAACTTGACAAACCCTTTGCTGGTAAGTGCCATTGCAATCTGGAACCAACTCTTTTCCAAGCCTTTCCTGCACGACACCGTGTCTCATTCCCTAGCTCCTCAACTGCCTTAGAAGGCTTCTCGGCCTTTTTACCCTCCTGAATTGAAGCTAATGAGACCCACCTGCTCTGGCTGTTAGGAAGAGGCAGCAGAATCCCAAAGTAAGGGTATAGAAATAGATATCCTCTGACAATGATGGATATGTGAGATTGTGATCTACCAGTCCCCATGAGTTGAACCATCCTCAATTTTAATATCCAAGTCCTTTGTTTTTATTTCTGGAAAGGTTCTGTTTGTAGGAAGAGATGTTAAAATACAGTAATATTCTTAATGAGTGTCTGAGCCTGATCTGAGATGAAGTATAGCAATTTTCCCCTGTTTATGCAGATTTCATTGATAGATACACCACACCCAGAATGCCATGGCATGACATTTCATCCGTTGTGCATGGCAAAGCTGCGCGGGATGTTGCACGACACTTTATTCAGCGCTGGAACTTCACCAAGGTAGGTTTGTAATAATATAGGTCCTGCAAACCCTCACATCTGAGTGTGGCGCTCACAGATGCCCCACCTAGGGTGATACGTGGGAATGAGGACAATGCCAGGCAGTCAAGGTTTGCCAGTTTAGGTCAATAACCTATATGTAAGCCTGACTCAATGTCCCAGCAAATAGCACTGGAAAAACTATGACAATGGCAACACATAATGAAGATAGGAGCTCTCATTTTCCTGTGACATCAGTGTAAATAAGGTATCATTTGAATTTAGTAGGTGGGAAATAGTGTGAAAGGAGATTGAGGTCTGGAATGTTGTTGGCCAAGAGGAAGGTGCCATTATGCTGCTATTCTAGCAGTTCCTACTGGCTAGTTGGGATGGAGATTGTCCTGCACAAGAGCCCTCATGAGAAGCAGCAGACAAGCAAATGGAGCAGTTCAGTAGGTGAGCCCACAGCCAAAGGGAACAAGGAACAGCAGGGGCATCAGGCCAAAGCCATAGCCACCAGCGCAAACTAGTAATCACCAGAGCTCAGGGCCAAGAAACTAGAGGAACCTGCCAGTGGGGGTCATGTTGGAGTCCTGGAGGAGCCTTGGCCCACTGGGGATCCAGTCTCCAGGACCCAACTAGCAAGCACATAGGATCATCACCACTGGAGAGGACTTCTTTTCCCCCTCCTTAATGAAGACATGCTTTGATATTTGTTTTGATCTTCACCACTGGCTAATGGTTAAGAACTGTTTTAATGCTTTAAATTGAAGGGAGGTTATGGGGCTCATTCTGGAGCAGGCTTAGTTCTTAGGCTGCTACAGAATATCCAGTACATTTTTAAGCCCTGATCTTAGGTCCTACTTGGAGCAATGGTCGCTATGACTTTTTTTCAGACAGAAATGTGTCCTTCCATATTATGATAGGCCTTTAACCATAGGAACATCTTTGTTCTATATATTCCCCTGACCAAAACCTGAGTGATATGCAAATATTCACTGCAAAGAATAGATATAACATACTGTAAGCCTGAAATCTGCACAGACTTTTTGGTATGAGTGTTAATTCCAAGATACTGAGAGTACGTCTCACAGAAAAATTCAGAATTTGTGGATATTCAAGACCATTAAGAACAGGAATTGAGTTTATGTATATGAAAAGCTGTGTGTTCTCCTGCCCACCACCCCCAATTTTCTGTATAATAGAGGAGCATAAAATAGCCAAAGTATTTAGCATGAAAATATGTTTTTAAATAGTTTCCTCTTCATTTTTTTTCTTTTGAAGATCATGAAGCCCAAATACAGATCCCTGTCCTACCCATTCCTGTTGCCAAAATCTCAGAGAACCGCCAATGAGATGAAGTATCAAGTACCTGACTCTGTATGTGCCAATGTACAGGTGAGTGCAAATGGCATTTCATGGTCTCCTAAAATGAAGAACTCCTGACACTGAGGTTCCTTTGTTGCTCTTTCTAATTGGGGGCTTTGGTAGTCTTCCAAATGAAAGTTGCAAGATTTTGAAATGCAATTTAGCTGGCCGGATCCTCAGTTGGTGTAAATCAGCATTACCTGGTGGATTTCAGCATAGGAAAATCGATTTACAAGAGCAGAGGTTTGAGTGCAGTGTACGTAAGATTAATTATGCAAATGACATTTTAAACTCCATTAGTTGTGTCAAATGCATATGTCAAATGTGATTATTAAACAGCACTAGATGTGCTAGGAATGCAGGGTTGAAATGGCTGTGCAGAGGAAGTGACAGGATATTGTGTGTGTGTGAGAGAGAGAGAGAGAGGGAGAGAGAGAGGCTTGGGTCAAATAAAGGTGGTCAAAGCTGGTCAGGAAAAAAGTGCATAGGGTGCCAAAGTAAGTGTCAGCCCAAATGCCACCTAATAGCTGTTGAGAAAAGATTGGCAACTCTCTGTCATGCCACCTGCAAGTATGCTGCTCCTCATGATAGACAGACCCATTGAGAACAGGTGTAAGTGTTTTTTAGACATTAGCTGCCTGCAGCAGGGAGCTGCATCGAGAGCTCTGGGGTAGCTGCAGAGGTTGAGACACCCTGTAGGACTAGTACCAAATGCTGTGTGAGGTTGTGTGTTAGTGGGCACGCACACGCTCACATGCATGGTGTTCTATGTGCACTAGAACTAAGATGCCCAGTGTGGATGGTCCTCACTGTTACAGCTTGCACCTCGTCAATCACACCAGTGTAGTTCTCTAACCTAGGCCTGTCCTAAGAATCTGAGGCCTGGGGGCTGGATGTGGCCTCTGGCTTGCCTGGATCTAACCCCCAATGCTCAGGACTCCCCCTCCTCCCAGCTCTGGGAGCCCATGCTGGTGCTCCAATTTCCCCCATGACCCGCCCACAGGACTGGAGCACACAAAATCTTACTAGCCTGAGCCCCCCTAGGCTCTGGTGTGTGAGGGGAATGTGGGGAGTGTCTTTCTCCTTCTCAGTCAGGGGCCACATCAGTGAGGACTTATGGGTGGTTTTCTTTTCGCTTATGTGTGGCCCTTGACTGATTTTTTCTGTGGGTCAGCAGCCACCAGCTTGAAAAAGGTTCCTCACCCTTGCCCTAGCTTGTTGCTCGAACCTGTCTCCTGATGATGAGTTATGCTGCTCCAGTCAGAAAACATAATGAATACTCAGGTGACTTATGTGACCAGTCACAACTCATCAACAGAGCTTGAATACAGAATGTTAATTATTAAAGACAATTAACCATCAGTCAACAGATAAAAACCGCTAAACAAAAAAAAAGAGAAATGGGTTAAGAAATGCCAGTAATGAATAAAATTCCAGAAAATTTTGATCTGCTGAGAGACATTTTGTAAATTATTCATCGCAAATTACACATGCTCATCTCTAATGGCAGACTAGAGCATTTTGAGAGCTGTCATCCGTGAGCTGCATAAAGCTGGCTACGTTAAAAAAACTATTTTGCCTGCAAACAAGGTTTCTTCCTTGAACGTTTCTGGAGTGCACTAGCCCTTCCATTGTACCCACACATAACAAGTCGTTTTTATGCTGCTGTGTGGTAGAAGCAGGCAGGGGGATGGAGAGTCTGTATTTGCAAGATGACGTACTCCGGCACTAGGCATATTTGTTCATGCACATAGTATAATTCCGGCAGCTTCTTCTTCTGTGGCGTGCTTGTTGTTCTGACTTCAGTTTGTTTGTCTAGGTGGAAATGCACACAATAGGAAGCTTAGTTACTAGGAAACAATACAAGAAGCCTCAAATGCAGGGAGCTCAGGCTGGCAATAGAAATGCAGTTTACTAAGCGGTGTCATAAAAGATTGTGTATGTAGAAGCTGTAGCTGAAGGTTAATAGCTGAATCATTGGTGGGGGAGATTCTGGCTTTTGCAGGCTGAGATCAGATGGAGCTGGCTGCATCTGAGCTCAGTCCCCTTTGAGTAGAAGTGTCAGAATCTGGCCCTTAATCTCTCCCTCCCTTATGCATGCACACGCCTGGGTTCTCAGATCGATTAGTTAGCTTCCTTGTGTAAATACCCAAAGCATCCCCTTGGTTGTTTCTAACTCAGCTAGTGAGACAGCTTGGCCCATTATGGAACCTGTCTTGCTCTTTCTTACCAGCTCTCCAGTGCAAGACACTCCAGTGACGTAAAGCTAAGCTTTGTCTGTTGAAATAGTGTAACTGTGGGCAAGATGCAGACTTCTCATTTACCTTTCAGTTTTCATTGTAGTGGTGGTAGAGGAAATGAACAGAACCCCTATAACTTTCACCGGCACTCTTATCCAGACGGCCAGGAGAGAGATGGTCTTTATGTAAATGCTTGCTCTAGTCAAGATAGGTCAAGCCCAGAAACATTTATTATCATTGTTTATGAGCACCAAGAGTAGGGTAGAGTTCTTTTGCAGCAAATGGGAGACAAATTCCCTACTCCAAAAAGAGTAATAGCTAATGGACAGATTTAATGGGAGCTCCTGAGTGCTGGGAACTGTTGAAAATCTGGCCGCTTCTATCTGCATGAATGGGAATTGAACTCTGTTTGAAAATCTGACTCCAGTTGTGAGTGCTGTCTGAGCCCCTTTGAAATTCTAATCACGATTAGATGAAGGATGGGTGAGGGTGGAACATCACCACCAAAAGTCTACCGACTGAGCCATGATCCTCACCTTTTTGCTGGCATTTTGTTCGTGTTATCTTAGCAGTCCCTACCTGTTAGTTTTGGTCTGTTCCCACCATCTGTTATGTTGTCACATGTGGGAAGGGAGGATTGGGGTTCATAGGCCTTCTAGAAGAAGTGGGTAGGCAGTAAGACAGGGTAAAAGCATGGCAGAACAGGTCTGGGTGGGGGTGAGTTCACATCCCTGGGCGGTGGAGTCAGTCTTGAGGGATCGCATGGGAAAAGATGTGAAAACAGGAGTTAAAGGAAGGAGGAAGTTAATTATCTTGTGGGTTAAATCAAGCATTCTCTCTCTAAGTTTGGGGTTTGGTTATCACAGCATATTTGATTTTTGCATGAAGCAAACTTTTTTGACTGGGAACCACCAAACTCAAAGCCCTCTCAAATTTACCAGCTCTATTTTCCAGTGATTATCCAAGCAAGACACAATAATGCTGTAACATGTTGAGACAACTTCGCACCCTGTTCACACTGTAAGATACAATGAAAACATCATGCGCCCTGAGTGGCTCAACTTATTAGCTCTTAGAAGTTTGCTCCACTGTACATAGTGTTTGCAGGTTTGGAATAATTCCCAGCATATACTGGTGGTGTGGTTAGAGTAGCTTGGATTAAAGAGGTTTATGGGATGACAGCAGCTGCATAAAAATGGCCTGAGTGACGGGAGGCTTCAGACTTGAGAGGAGAGAAAACCAGTGCTTGTTTCTGTAAAATATGTAGACCTTTTCTCTGAAACTAAAGAATTTTGCTTTTCAATTTATTATTTTTCAATGTACTGAAAAGAGGAGAACCATTTTACAACAGTAGTAGATGACACATTAATGATAGGTCAATATTAATTTAAAAGAAAGCTCATACAAATCATAGTTAATCCTTGGCAACCTAAACTTCAGTTCTTACCTTAGTGCACACACTGACCACTCAGACCTTTATGAAGTAAACAGGGTTGCAGCTGAAATCTTCATGTTTCAAAGACATAGACATCCGCTACAGTGTGTTAAAGGAAAATCGGGTTTTACTGTTTTTCCTTATAGTTCCTAGGATACAAAGCTGAATGGTTCCAGTTCCATTCCATGCATGTTGGAACACACATTCACGTACTGACACAAGCTAATTCATTTCAAAAGATAAATATTACCAAACAAGCCAATTCATTTCAAAAGATAAATATTACCAAGATGAAAATTCACAGAAGAGTTGGGATGTTCCAGTGGTTAGGGCAGTAGCCTCGAATTTGGGCGAATTGGATTCAAGACCTTGATCCACTGCAAACTTCCTGTGTGATGTTAAGCGAGTCACTTAGAGTCATATTTTTAAAGTATTTTTCAAGTACCTCTGAAAATAAGAACATAGGAACATAAAAATGGCCATAGTGGATCAGACCAAAGGCCCATCTAGCCCAGTGTCTTCTGACAGTGGCCAATGCCAGGTGCCCCAGAGGGAACGAACAGAACAGGAATCATCAAGTGATCCCTCTCCTGTCACCCATTCCCAGACTCTGACGAACGTAGGCCAGGGACACCATTCCTATTGATCTGACTAATAGCTGTTAATGGACCTATCCTCCGTGAATTTATCTAGTTCTTTTTTTAACCCCATTAAATTCCTGGCCCTAAACCTCTCTGTTCCTCATCTGCAAAAAGGAATAAAATTAATTCTTACCTCACAGGGATGCTGTGATGATAAATACATTAAAGATAGCGAGGAACTCTGCGACTGTGGTAATGGGGTCCATTAATGTAGACAGATGTTTGTATTTGTCCTCTACTCTGAAGTGTATCTTATAAAATGTGTTCTGTGACCTGACTGGTTTCAGGGAGAAGCAGAACCCTCAAAGTTGGTTTAGTTAATAACTTCTGTCTTTGACTGGAGGACTTTGCTTCTGGGAGGAATGGCAGAGAAGGAATCCCCTTAAAAACTGGAGCAACAATGCTGCAACTTGTCATGCTGGTGTAATGATTTGGTAAAGGGATAAACGAGAGAGGGAGAGAGGGCATCTGGTCTGGATGGTTCTGAAGCAGTGGGATTGAAAGTGATCAATTTCTCACTGAACTGTCGGCCCTCTAGTGAGATGATTTTTCTAGCCAGCCATTAGTCTGTCTCTGAGTGGTAAAGCCATTTCTCAAATTGAGAGAGGTTTATGACATCAAGTATAAAATGAAAAAAAACCACCTAAACATTGATTTATTCCTTGTCTCCAGCAGAGCAGCAACTACTGATGCTAATAGGAGAGTTTCTGCACTGCTATCACTGCATTAGTACCAGCACTGAATATCTTGTTGGGGAAACAGAAATGACTCTTTTAGGGACACTGGGAAAGTTGGCCACCTTTTCTCAAGCACTCTTTAAATATTGGTGGCTGATAGAAGCAGCAGAATGGGGGTGGGAGGGACAGGCGGCACTGCAGAGCTGGTGCTGGAGGTAACCAGCTTTTAATCCGGCTTCTCCCAGCACCAGCTCCTGCCTGCTCCCACCCCTCACCCTGCTGCTTCTGTAGGAGTCAGCAAGGGGGGGAGCAGGTGGGTCCGTAGAGCCACCACGCATGGGGAGCCTGCTTGAAAGCCAGCTGCCGCTTGCCCCACTCACCCGATGCACTGCTGCCTCTCTATCAGAGGGGGAGGGAGACAGGTGGATCCAGTGCTCATGAGGAGCCAGCTATCAGAGGGGGAGGGAGGCAGGTGGATCCGGTGCTCATGGGGAGCCAGCTTTTAAGTCAGCTCCTGATGGGCTCCTGCTCCCTCCTGTGCTGCCTCTCATACAGTGGCAAAAAGGTAGGGAGTGCATATAGTCAACAAGATTAAGTGAAAGTCCCAGGGGGTAGTTATCTACATGTTGACATCTCTACTCCTGCCAGAAAGGTGAGGGAGCTTAGTGGAGGAGTTGCAGCTCAGCTGCTTGCAGCCAGCTTCACCAACAAACCCAAGATAGTAATAGAGAGGTAGCCGTGTTAGTCTGATCTTGCTAAAACAAAAGGAAAAACTATGTAGCACTTTAAAAACTAACAAGATGGTTTAATAGGTGATGAGCTTTTGTGGGACAGACCCACTTCCTCGGATCATATTCTGGAAGAGAATTGGCATGACCATACACAGGCCTCGCCAAACCGCGGCGAGCCCCGCTCGCTAGCTGTGCTGTCCGGCGATCTGCGCATGTACAGATCGCTGGAACCCGGCTCTTCCAGGTTCAATCTACTCACCACGGGCAAGTAGATTGTATAATTTGTCGAGCCCTGACCATACATACCAAAGGTATACAGTGAAAAAAGTGAACACATTACTAAACTGACAAACCCAAGATAGGCAGCCAAGTGCTGAGTTTCACTGCCACAGGGTAAGGAGCGTGGACTAGCAGGAGAGAGCAAAGAGAAGAGCAGAGAACATTGATTCTCGTTGGGAACTCCTCATCTGGAGCACTGGTGTAGTAGGGATTCTCGTTGGGAACCCCTCATCCGAAGCCCCCTGGGCAGCCAGCATTCTCTCCCACACTCTCAGAAAGATCATTCCTAGCACTAGCAAGAGGGGACCACTCCCTCCTGGCTCAAACCCCATCAGGTACTCCCATGCGTTGGTGTGGTGGGCCCCTCCCACCTGACCCTTCCGCAGGACCTCTTGAATCCAAGGGCCTCCGGCCTGAGTCTAAAACTCAGCCCAAGTCTGGCCCCTTAAAGGCAAGGCCAAGGCCCTCCAGCCTGATTCCGAACCACAGTTCAAGTTTGGCCCTTTAAGGCAAGGCCAAGGCCCTCTGGCCTGAGTCCAAAATGCAGCTTAGGGTTGTAGCGGGGACGCACCCCAGGTGGGGGGACCTGGGCCCACCCTGCTCCACTGGATCCCGGCCCAGGGCCCTGTGAGTGACCGGATAGCAGGTCACTCCCTCGGCAGGGCCATCCGGCCGAAATGCGCCGAGGTTCTCGGGGCGGGAGAGGCAGTTCCCGCTCCTGCCCTGGGCCACTTCCTACATGGTTCACTGGGGTTCCTTCCCATGTACTCATCCAGCTTGCTGCGGCCTCCAGGCTGGTGTCTCCTCGGCGGGCAGTCTCTGGGGTGCACCAGCTCACCTCCGTGTCCCCAGCGGCCTCTTCTGGAGTCTCTGGTGCCAGCTGTGCAGGAGCCCCCTTCACAGGTCCTTCTCCTCCAGCTGCCATCCCAGACTGAGTCCTTCACCAGGCTTTTATGGTAGAGCTACAGCCCGGGCATGCTCGGTAGGGCTGCAGGGGAGGGGCCTCTGCAGCCAGGTAACCCTGGCTGGGTCCTGCAGGCTCAGTGCGGGGCTGCCCTGTCCCGTCACAGTTGGGTAATGTAAATTTGCTATAAAATGTAATAGCCTGATCCTCATGTATAAGAGGATTTCTGGGAATATAAAGGGGCATGAAGATGGGAAGAGATATAGTTGAATAGTGGCATTTTCTTAAAGTTGTTCTTTTTGCCACATTTCCTATGTTGTTGTTTATGTATCACCAGTCTCATAAATGAACAGGCTAGTTTCCTTTTAGAATCCTTCCCTCTGTTGTACTAGTAGAATATCATTGCAGTGTCCTGGCCTATCACTTCACAGTTCTTCAGTAAGAACTAGAATAATAGCTCCATATCCAATGAGTTATTATTAAATACATCTGTTAAAAGTTTGCCACGTTCTTTCACTCTTTAAACTCCTGGGATGTATCCTATTCTGCTCTGGAGTTTTTTCACTGAACAGATTTATTTTCTGTTCACTTGATTTGGCACAATACAGATTTCCTTCCGAAAGTACTTTCCTCTCTTCGGGCATTTGCCTTCAATCCCCTATATAGGATGAGTGGCACAGGACAATCAAGTTCCTTAACAAATATATTTTTGATTAATAAATCACTCAGTCTGTGTAGGTCTATGTCTCCTTTTCCGAATGTATTTGAAAGTTGTCTTGGTTGAAACCACTTATGTAATCTTCCTTTCCTTCCCCTTGCATACCTAGACATTTTTCACACACTCACATTGATGCTGTACTCTTTACTCTTTTACATCCTATGCCTTGCATTAGACACTCCTATTCTTTTTCAGCGACCCACTTATTCCTGGATTGTTTGGTTTTATGTTTTGGTAAATGCAACTTCCTGACACCATAATTGTTACTGTGACCCATTTGTTCTTAGCCAGCACTTCCTCCACACTTCCAAAATCTGCCTGGAAGGGGGCACCATTATCTTATTGCTAAACCTCACTTTTTTGCTCTAGCTTTCAGCCTAGGGGCAAATTCTGCAACCACTCCACTGCAGAGCTCCCATGCAGACAGTGGGACAATGCACAGGAGTAAGTGCATGCACTGAAGGAAGTGTTTGCAGGATCAGCTACTGCTGTGTAGCTTCTTTAGATGTTGCCCCACCTCTGGGAGCCCGAAGACATTACACACCTGAAGTATCACTGTCTCATTTCCTCATTTACATACTGTGGACCAAATTCTACTCTCACTTGTAATACTCGAAGTCCAAAGTAGCGCCATTAACATAAATATAAAGTAGTCACAGCCAGGTCATCACTTGGTGTAAATTAGTGTATCTTCATTGACTTCCATGGAACTATGTCCATTTAGATCTGGTTCAAAAGAGCCCTTGTCATCTGGAGCAATCTTCATCCTTGGGGTGTTCTGTTTTTATTTGGCAGATAAAGGTTTTATGATTCAGACATTTCAAAGGAAGGGAATTAGGTGATATCAAAGAGATCCCATTTGGATTCATGTGGCATGCTAAGCTGTTGCCTGAAGTATTACTTGGTCAGAGGTCGTCTTGGTTGTCAGACTGTCTGGGTTAGTTAGTGCCAGAAATACATGTACAGGCAGTCCCCGAGTTACGCGGATCCGACTTATGTCGGATCCGCAGTTACGAACGGGGATTTTCTCGCCCCGGAGGACTGGAGCGGCGGGACGCCTGGTCCCGCCGTCCGCCTCCTCCGGGGCGAGAAAAGCTGCTCCCCGTCTCCCTGGTCTGCTGGGGGAACCAGCAGACCAGGGAGACGCGGAGCAAAGCAGCGGAAGACCCGGGCCAGACCCACGGCGCTGATCTGGGAGCGCCCCTCCAGGGCTTTGGCCTTGCATGGGTGTTTGACACACATGATATGAGAGTTTAGATAT